CTCGTGGTTGTTAACTTGTCTGGTTCATTTGTCGCCCACAGTGTGTCCTTTCCCCCATGGTTCACATACCTGGTAATGACCAGGCAGGCGCCGTTCCCATGGGGCTTGTGACTCTGCCCTCCTCCGTCCCTAGAAGCATCATCAGCCGAGATGGTTTCTCTCATCCTTAATTACAGGCCCACAGGACAGCTGTGAAACAGTAGTTACTGTCATTACTGACCCAAACCTGCTTCAAAGGAGCTACAAGTGTCGGCCTAGATAATCTAATGCAGCGGCCGGCGGCGCGGGCCATCCCGGCCCTGCAGAGTCTTATTATGTGACTGGCTGTGTGTGATCAGAGCACCTACCTGTTAAGTGTGTTTGGCTAGGGAAGCAAACAGCTGCCATATGCTCTGTACCTTTTCATTAATTGTGTCTGGTATTTGCTTTTTTTCCTTTGGAATTGATTTGGGTGGCTGATAATCCAAGCTAATGAAGACAATTAAAATGCCAAGTAGACAAACACCAGAATTATTCAGCGCCTCTGTGAGGCTCCAGCCTGCTCCCTGGAGCCGAAACTAGACCTATGCTGCCACCTTGTGGCATAAAATGGCATCTGTTTTAAAGGTTTTACTAACAATTGACATCGTAGAATCTGTGTTTGACAGGATAATAGTGAAGTTTTCAGCACAAAATAAGCAAGCTTGGTATGCTGATGCACACATGTGATCCCAGCGCTCTGGAGGCAGGGGAGGTAGAAACAGAAGTTCAAGGCCACCCTTGGCTACGGCGCCAGTCCAAGACCAACAAAACGTACATTAAAAAAAACTAAATAGACCCACTTCTGAATGAATTCCCAGCCGAAGTTTTATAAGCTGAAGTACTGACCTTCCTTAGTCAAGGAGGTGAGTGCCCACAGTCCCTCCAGAATTGACATAGGTCTGGGGGATGCAGGAAACCCCACGGCCCTGTCCAGTAATGCAGTGTATTTTTATTACATGGCTGTCTGCAACTTGATTGATATCGGTGTGTCCAATAATGAGGTATACCACAACACAAAAGAGCTGTGCACAGTTGTCCACTGCTTTTCCAACTGTCAGGTACACATGTGTCATAGTATCAGTTAAGGTGCAGTAAAGGGAGATAGGACTCCTTTGCCCTGTCTCAAATAATTTTTAAAAATACTTACATGTGCACTCTAAAGTCAGCTATTCTTTTTCGGTTTTGGTTTTGGTTTGTTTTTGAGACAAGGTCTCTCTACATAGCCCTGGCTGTCCTGGAATTCACTATGTAGACCAGGCTGACCTCGAACTCTCAGAGATCCATCCACCTGCCTCTGTCTCCTGGGTGCTGAGATTAAAGGTGCACACCACCACACCCAGCCTCCAAAATCAGCTATTCTTGATGAACCTTTTCAAGAGATGTAACACATGATGGGGCAGTGCATTCACACAAGAGAAGGGACCTTTCACCTCCACATAAAGGAGGAGACAGTGCATCTACGCACGTTGGCAGCGAGACAATTGTAGAGGAGCCTATGGGAATTCAAGGTGTAGTATCCAGGGAAGACATGGGGGGCAGAACTATGGGGGCAGATCCAGAAAGAGATGGAGACAAAAGAGTATAAGATCTCTAAACTAGGAATACTCTCACTCCAGAGGTCAGAGGTGTGGAGGTACCCGCCTGCCCGGGCACCATGTGCACACCCTTGATGCCAAGCCCCTCCGGGGACTTTGTAGAGGACCACTGCTGCTACCTTGTCTCTCGGGGCTCTGCCCAGACCCCTGCTGGAGCCTCAGCCTTCCAGTAGAGTAGCACCAGGAGCCACTGCCTTGGAAGCTGTCCAACATGAGACTCTGAGATTTTACCCTGGCTCACTGGGAAAGTGGTACCAGACAAGCGTTCTTTTCATGGTGAGATTTTTGTGCAGATGAGAACTGGGGAGAATTTCTTTCTGTGCCTTTTCATGAAGTTCTAATTGAAGGGGGTAAGCCAGGAGTTTTGACACATTTTCTGTGAGTTCCATCTTTTATTCAGTAACTTGTAATGACTCCCTTTCATCTCCCTCCCTGGGCTGTCCTGCTAGGACGGTACCCCACGTATTTCCCTGTATCCAATCAGCCCCTCCTGTTAAGGGAACAAGAGAGGAAGGGGAGACATGTTCAGGAATGGAGAGAGGCACTGGAATGGAGAGGAATACTGGAGAGCCCCTGTGGGCTTCTGGTCCACCACTCTGCCTTTGGGCAATGCACACAGTCAGCTCTCTTCTAGGAATTTTGTCCTTTATAAATAGCATTGATTAATCCAGTGTGTGAATGAAAGTCCTTTGTCTGTGCTTCCTAAACTATTTCATGGTTTACACCTACACATAAAAGTTATTTTATAGGTCACCACAATTTAAATGCTTCTTTCGTGTGTATTTTAGAAACCTATTGCCGTGGCAGTTTGTAGACACAGTTTAAAGAGAATTATTTTTTGCATCCTGAAATGTAGTGGTTATTTTATTCATGTAGAAGCAATTTGTCTGTGTATTACTTTGAGCCTGGCCTGTTTACAGGCATAATGTATAATCAGAGACAAATTCTGTATTACCCAAGTTCTAATGTACGCATTTATAGAGCATTCAAAGCATATTCATGTGGACTCACAGACAGAGAAACAGGATTTTCTCGGCTGCACTGGGCTTCAGCTACATATTGTTCTTCATCCTTGAAGACTGAGATAAACATGTCATAGAGAAATCTGCATTGGTTGAAATGGCTTGGACTTGGCCCCTTTTGTTACACTCTGGTCTGTCACCAAGACACCCTAGAGGTGCCAGCATGTGCAGCCTCAGGGATGGCCACCCCACAGCGCTGTCACTAAGACAAGTGAAAATGTAAACATTAGTGGTCTTTCACAAGGAAGACGTGGCTTATGACTCGTCATCCTAACACAGAAGTTAGGTTTTCTTACTGTACTGCTTACTTGAGAGTAAATTCCAGGCTGTTCCTTTTTATTAGAATGTTCTGGAACTAACCAAATGGGTGTTGTGTAAATAAGATCTCTTTTACCATGGATAGTATTGGCCTGGTGTGCTCCTCCATTTTCAATGTGCTTCTAATACGGAATATTTGACACCAGTACCTGGACATCCTCAGAAGCATTACAGTGGGAACAGGGGGCTGGTCCAAGTGAGCTAGGGTTTCCTCAGTGGTCAGGAGCACAGCCGTGTGGAGTCCAGGCAGCCAGATTCATGGTTCCGGAGCACTTGGACCAGGTTCTTTACCTGCATGGGTCCAACCTGCTCTGTAATGGGGACGAACAGTGCCTCCCGCTGAGTGGTGGTGGCAGCAAGGCATGCCCAGCATCTGGTGGCGTTCCTGGGACCTGCTGAGTGCAGGTCTTAGGCCTACTTTGTAGTTCTTCACGAATCCATCTTCTATTGAGGGGGTGTCCTCAGCACGAGCTTCCAGCCTTCCCTTTGAAAATGAATGACTGGGTACCTAGCAGCAGCTCAGTGAAGACTCCTCCTATAAAGTAAAGTCACAGAGTCACATCCTCAGTGAACAGCAGGTGTGAAGACGGGCCACACTGACCATAAGCTATCTACGATCAAAATGGGCTTGACACTGGGTAGTGGTGGCAGAGGCAGGAGGATCTCTGTGAGTTCGAGGCCAGCCTGGTCTACAGAGTGAGATCCAGGAAAGGCACAAAGCTACAGAGGAACCCTGTCTCGAAAAACCAAAAAAAAAAAAAGATGGCTTGAGGAGCTAGGGAGACAGACGGTGGGACAGGGGGACAGACAGTGGGACAGGAGGACAGACGGTGGGACAGGGGGACAGACGGTGGGACAGGGGGACAGACGGACAGGGAGACAGACGGTGGGACAGGGGGATAGACGGTGGGACAAGGGGACAGATGGTGGGACAGGGAGACAGACGGTGGGACAGGGAGACAGACGGTGGGACAGGGGGACAGACGGTGGGACAGGGAGACAGACGGTGGGACAGGGGGACAGACGGTGGGAC